CATGATGACTTAGTACCAATTTTGACAAGTTTTTGTAACTAGTAGCCAAGAGCTATGTTTATAATTTTACCTTAAGAACTATGTGAAGGTTTGTGAGTTAGAAATTATTTCAGTTTTTAAAATCTGAATTTCTAAGTTCAGCATATGGTCATTTTCAGGGTGATTTACAGATTCTACCTACTTTTAATTTCTTGGCACTCAATTTCTGTTTATACAATAAGTCATAAATAAGGTGATTCTAATTCCAGGCCAAAAAAAAAAAATAGATACATAGAAAATATATGAGACTGGAGTCGGCTCTAGGACACATTACCCAAATATATGAGTGTCTGGCTCTAACTTTCCAAGTTTATAAAATAAAAGGACAAAAATAAGATAATTCGTAAGAAATTTTATATCTGTATTTCTGATTCTCTGGTAGGTTATATAATGAGAACATAAATATCCCTTTTATGTTGTCGCAAATGGCAGTATTTCATCTCTTCTTATGGTTGAGTAATATTCCATTGTATATATGTACCACAGCTTCTTTAGCCAATCATCTATCGTAGGACATTTCGGTTGCTTCCATGTCCTGGCCATTGTGAAAAATGCTGCTATGAACATCGGTGTGCAAATATCTTTTCGGATATGGGTTTTCAAGTCTTTTGGGTAAATACCCAGTAGAGGGATTGCTGGATCATATGGTAGATCAATTCTTAGTTTTTTGAGGAAACTCCATACTGTTTTCCATAATGGCTATACTAATTTTGCAGTTGCACCAGCAGTGTATGAGGGTTCCTTTTTCTCCACATCCTCTCCAACATTTGTTATTACTTATCCGATTGATTATAGCATTTTTATACAACCATAATGAGTCAATGTACACTAATTCTAATTATAATAATTTGGAGTTTGTCCATATGGTCTGACTATGTCTATAACAAATTATCCCAAAACTTAGTGGCTTAAAACTATACTTTTATTTTGTTCACTATTTTGTAAGTCAGGAGTTTGTGAATGATTCTACTCAGGCAGTTATGATGAGATATAGGCTGGGGCTTTGGTAACCTGGAGGGCCTACTGGATTAGATGTGCAAGAGGACTCACTGTCATAGCTGGCAATTGATTCTGGGTGTCCATTGCAGCTCTTAAGAGGCTGTCAGTGGAAGCATGGCTACTTGGTTCTTTCTGAAAGAGAGTAACCTGAGAGAGAGCTGAGGGTGTCTGATTCTCAGAGACCAATCATGGAAGCTAAAAAGCCTTTTCTGATCTAGCCCTGAAAGTCATTCAGAATTACTGTCACCGTATTCTATTGGTCAAGCAAGTCAATAAGACCAACCCATGTCCAAAGACAGGGTTTAGACTGCATCTTTCAGTAGGACTAGTAGCAAAGGATTTGCAGCCATCTTTAATTTACCACATTATGAGTTCTATATTTATAAATAATTATTGAATTAGGAAATAATTGAATCGAATTAGTCCTACAAATTAATTATGCTTGAATGAAACAGAGGATTGTCATGATTATTGAATTACATATTTTCCTATGTGCGAATAATATGCATTTAAATAAGCACAAGGTTAAATTGGTTGTATTAACCTTCAGGTTAATGGAATAACCTTATTTCAAAAATCAAGAATATTAAAATCCAGTTAATTCTACACATCAATATGACTTTTAATTCAATATATCATCCTGCCAAATATGTCTTAGACTTTTACGAATATAGTGAGAATATTGAGGGAATAATGCTGTCAGCTTCATCTGAGAATAAGTGTTGTTCAGGGGCTTTCATTTTGTGTTTTAGACAGATACCTCTGTGAATATTGTCATAATATAATTACTAAAAATGAAACCTTAGGGAACTAAGATTTACTTGCAGAGTCATTCATAAGGCTTTTGAAAATGGCTTTTGATGATAGATGATAAACATTTACTATATGTTGTTCCAGAAATAAATGCAAATGACATGTTAGCAGTTACCTAATTTAAAGCTGTTGGATTATGAATGTCCTGAAAAAATTCCCCAGGAATAAAGTCAGAGACTTGTGTACGGTGAACATATTTTTGGAAAACCAAGTTTCTTTACAATTCCTATTAGCCAGCATATAGGTAAATAATCCATTTTAAACTGATTAATCAAGAAAATATAAATTCATATACAAAAATATTAATGATAATTAATCAACAGAACAATTGTAAGTAGATCCAGGCTGAGGCTCTGATCCCCTTACAATCAAGTACTGACAGTCTAGCTGCAAGTCCTGTGGTTCTGTGACTGCTTCCCGCTATTAGTATCTTTAGGGCCTGACTCAGCTGAGATCAAGCCCACCTGTAGGTGATCTGGAACAATGAATAAAGTAACAACAGATGAAATCTAGTTTTCCTTGAGGCAGCACCCAACCAATGACTGAACAGAGTGCTATAAGAGCCTTTCGTTCAACGAGGAATTCCTCTAACAGTCTTGGCTATGGAGCTTCTCATTCATGTGGCGGAGCTTTGGTCAGGTAGGGATCATGGTCCAACTGTTCCCCTGCCCAATTCTGATTCTTTTCATTTTCTTTTCACATGGATTTACTCTGTAATAAACCTTTTGTAACCTTAACTCCACCTCAGTATTTGTTTCCTGGAGAACACAACTTGTTATATATTTTTTTTATGGAGTTCATTTTTCTTAAGTGAGATATTGGTGATATAAGACAGTTTATATCAGGTAGTTTATAATCTGGTGTTATTAACCTCCAGAGAAATGTCCACGGGGCTCGAAGAAGATAAATAACTAGCACAGAGCCACAGGACTAGTTAATTGAAGTACTGAGGATTTGATCCTGGAGCTCTGATTCTAAGAAACATGAATTATTCTCTTACCTCTTAAGCCTGCTATTTTTTCTTTGCATTGTGGAGTAAGCTAAGCCTTTTTGTCATTAACAGTGTAACATGTAATATTTAGAATCTGTGAAAATAAATATTAAAAATGACTATAAACTCTATCTATGAAAGCCCATGATTCAGGGAATGTACAGGACTACTACGAAAGAAAAGGAATAGAGATAATTAGCTTCTTTCAGTCAGCCTGATTGTCAGCAAACTAAAGGAGATATTAGTAAATCTGAATCAAGTTCTGTATTGCTTAGTGTAGAGGAAGTAGAAATTATTAACACCATCAGAACCAGAATAAACAAGTATTCTGTTTTCTCTAATCCATTAGCTGTTTTCTTCCTTGTCAGCTCAGATAAGCTTAACAGATTCAGAAAAAGTGAGAATTCTCCTAATGTTTATACTGTTTATGTGGTAATTTTGTGGGTAGGAAGGAAGCATGGATTTTGAGCATCTTATGTGTGTCAGTTACAATGTTTGGTTCTAATGATATGCTAATGAAATACAGGCATGCCCCAGAGATATTGCAGGTTCGGTTCTAGACCACTTTTATATAGCGAGTATTGAAATAAAGCGAGTCATAATCTTTTTTGCTGATGAAGAGTCTTGCCTTCAATTTGTAAAAAGTGCAACACCTGTGAAGCACGATAAAGTGAGGCGCAATAAAACGAGGTATGGCTGTAGGGTATCCACTCAGGTGGGAAGGGGACGGGGGAATAAGGCTGCAGAACAAGCAAACAACACTTGAAGTATTAACATTATATGAAATGGTGTATGATTTAAATGCTGTAGAATGTGCCCGCACCCTCAAGGGATTCGTATCTCAGCCAACAGGGGAAAGCGCCTTCATGGGATAAGGAGTAATGCGTGAAAGCCTCAGAGCATGAGGAATTGGGGGGAATAGACAGGTGCAGTGGGTAGAAGGCAGTGTAATCTAGTGATGTGCATGTGTAAAGCAAGAAGACGTGAAGCAACATTTTGCTATTCAGTTTTGTAGGAATTAGCAAAGATCATGAGAAAGTTGGAAATGAAAAACTTTAAAGCTACAAAAATAAGTACCATATGCTATGCTAAAGAGTTTGGACCTTTTTTTTTTTTTCATGAAAGAGAAAGTGATTAGCTGTTAAATGAAGAAGTGATGTAATTAATACTCATTTAGGAAAATATTTCTGGCAGATAAAGAAAGTAATAGAAAGCCAGAAAACCAGTTTAGAGGCTTATTGCAATGAGTCGACTAAGAAGTAATGAGTACCTAGAGAAAGTCTATGAGGAATAGAGAGGAGTGAGTTCAAGAAATATCAAGGAAATAGGGATTAAAGAGTTTAGTACTGGATTTGGTTCCTACTGCGTAAGAGCTGAGTATAGGATGATTTCCTCATTATCTTAGACAACAGGAAGATATTAGGAGAAATACGTGGAAGTGAAGTGTTGGGGTAGGGGAAGAGGATGTTGAGATGAAGGTTGAGTTGAAATGTCTGAGAGTGCTGAGTCCATGCTCAGTAAGAAGTTTTATTCATGGGTTGAGGCTTAGACGGCAGATAGGCCCAAATTAAGTATTTGTATCTGCGTTACCAGCAAAGAGTAATAGAGGCCGTAGGTGTGGATATATCATGTACATAGAGACTGGCTGAGTGTACACGCAGAGTAAGAAGACTAAATACCCACAGATCTCTAGTGAAAGGGACAAATGTTACAGAGGCGTCATTAAAGACAAAGACTGTAACATGGCCATTAATTTGGGAACTAATATTATGATAGGGCAACAAATGGTAGTTTTAGGTACCTCTTTTAGAGTATAGGTATTTTTTTCCACTTTTTACATATGCACAGGAAATGGGAGGAAAGAATTTAGGATGACTCCTTACTTTCTGTCTAAGGCAACAAAATGTACAAATGGATATCCAAAGGAAAAAAGCAGTATAAGAAAACACACATACACATGTATATCATATATAGCATAATAGTTCTGGATACACTAGTTTATTTTGCAACTTTGAATATTATGAAAAATATCACACTGAAGAGGAAATTTCGCTTTCATTAGTCAGGTGAAATTATCTCCCACTGTGTGAAACTGACTTTCCTTATCAAGAGCAAAGTGAAAGGGCTAAGCCTATTATGCTCTTTGATGTTTTTATAGGATATAATGAAAGATGAATGCTCAATGCTGAAGCTGCAGCTGAAAGAGAGAGACGAACTCATTTCCCAACTTCAGGAAGAGCTGGTAAGTGATAACAATATTTGGCTCGCAAGTATACTTTCCTTGCAATGTTTTTTGCTATAAACCCTACAACAACTTATTAACACATATTAATTATTTTCAAACTGTTAGTGATTAAATCTGATTAATTATCAATTTTATGATCTTACAGCAATGAGGATCTGCCAATCTGAAAAATAAAGAGTATATTTTATAATGTGTATTGAACTTTATATAATTCCAAAAACAGACACTGAACCAGGGTGAGACATTTCAGTTTAATCTATCAAAAATTGTGACAGCTAAGGGCACATTTCATTTTGTAAAGTGCATAGTTTAACTCCATTCTGCTATACCTAGAGGTACAAACATGTATATGAAGCAAATTATGTAATCATCCTGAAAAAACATATTTTACTTTTTATTTTCATAAAGCTACCAAAAGTATTAACCTAATGAGACTTTTGTTAATATAGATATATAAATCTCAAATGTAAATATACAAAAATGTGCAATGTATATAATTCATGTTTTCAGGGTACTTTTTTTATGTGACATTGTAAAAATGTAATAAATCATACTTTTATAACATGAAAATACTTTTGGTATATAAGAATTACTTTTCTAAGATGTGTTTACAATTTACAATGATTTCAGATTTGACTACAGATTTGACTACATTAACAATGAAGTATTATGTAATTATTAAATATAAGTAAATGACAAAACACTGTATAATTATAGACCATCAAGCTTCTGAGAACTAACATGTTAGATGACAAATTTAGAGCATATTTTATTGATTCTTGACAAGTGACTATGTGTCTACTAAGCCTTGACCTTTATTTAGATTGTTCTATGATTAGATCGATGTTGATTATTGGTTTCATGAACATGGTTTAATTGTTGATTTAGAAAGTTTTAAAATTCTCATATAAGCAGACCTGAGTAGTTAAAAGCCATGTTGTTCAAGAGTCAGCTTGTAGTCAATTTGGTATTTCAAGTTTATAGTAAAAAAAAAAAAATACATGACTTCATTTTACTAAATCAGCCAATTGAGGACTTTTTTGGAGGGAGGGATACTAAATTATTTTAATGATAGCTATGTAACATTGGCTCTGGAAGTAATAATTTCCTATTTCATTCAACAAACGAAGGCCTGATATTTTTGTATGTGCTGTTTGAAATCGGATCACAACCAATGTTGAAAGAAAAAACAAAGAATACATTTTCTGAGTTGATTATCCAACTTAAATGCCAGTAGTACCTTCTAGGCATTGCCAAATGTGCCTGGGAGAATCATTGCTTTAGGGGTATTAGATTAAATTATAGACTTCAGTGAAATTGTATGTTATAGGGTAAATGTCTATCTGTTGAAACCCAGTAAAAATCAAAAGTTCTGAAGAAGAGATGGGACTCTCTTTTGGCTATTATATATATAGCTATTTTCATGCCATTTTAGGCTGCTAGAGCCACCATAAATATAAATAGCTATTTTCATGCCATTTTAGGCTGCTAGAGCCACCATAACAAAGTACCACAGTACCAGTCCATGGCCTGTTAGAGACCAGGCCACAGTGCAGGAGGTGAGTGGCAGGTGACAGAGCGAAGCTTCATCTGTATTTGCAGCCACTCCCCAGGGCTAGCATCACTGCCTCAGCTCCACCTCATCATCAGGCATTAGATACTCATAGGAGCACGGTCCCTGGTGCCACTGTTTTAAACAACAAACTTTCTCAGCTCTGGAGGATAGAAGTCTGAGATCAGAGTGTCACCATGGTTGGATTTTGGCGAGAGCTATTTTTTCCTGACCTCTAGACAACTGCTTCTTAGCTGTGTGCTCAGATGTCCTTTACTGAGTGCATGTGCATGGAGAGAGGGAGAAGGAGAAAGGGGATACAAGTTCTCTGATGTCCCTTCTTTTAAAGACTCTAATCTTATCATAAAGGCCTTCCCTGAGGACCTCATCTAAACCTGAGCATCTCCCAAAGACCCCATCTCCAAACAGCATCACTTTGGGGGTTTGGATGTCAACATGAATTTGGGAGGGACACAATTTTGTCTATAGCACATTCTGTTTATGTTCATGGCTAGTTACTATTAGCAAAGAAAATTTTGGACAAGATATATTTATAAAGTACTAAATGCATATTTCAAAACTTATTTTTTCTATGATTTCAAAATTATTACCTTAGTTCAGCTGTTTTTTCATGCATGGTTAGTAGATTCTACAAAGCATAAATATACTAAGAAGTTCAAAATAATGTTGATTTAAATTATATAGATACTGTTTGGGCAAACTGTTCACATTAATTAAATTTTTAACATGAATATATTTTGTAATCATATTTTTAGTTTATCCTTACCTGTTCTCTTTTGAAAGAAGAAAAGAAGTGGTTTGTACTCTTGGGACAATTTTAAGATCTTTGAAATTATTTTTCCTAAAATTTGTATGTATCACTTATGTTTGTGAGATTTACTAATTTTATTTTAACAGATAATTTTTTGCACATATTTAATGATGTTTAATGAGATCTTAGATAAAAGAATATCAGAGTGTCCTCAGGTAGTATATGTGATGGGGCAACAATTGGAGAAAAACAGAAATATACTCTTCAGGCAGGAGTTTTGAATTTGGTAAACTGGAAGGAATTGGTCTACACATAGGATATTTACTCTCAACTGCTTTATAATAGAACAAAATCTCTTCTGCTGTGCTCTGAGATAATGTGAAGAACACTGGCTAGTCATACCTATATAGCTTGGGCTATGTAAATAGTATTTTTTTATGTTGAAAATAAATTATATCTGTAATGGTCTTACAGTGTGCGCGCGCGCGCGCGCGCGCACACACACACACACACACACACACACACTAAGCCAAACAACATTTATATTATCAAGTTTAAGACCACTCGCCCATCAAATGAAATCTTTAAAATGTTTTTGTTTTATCCCTCTTCTCTCCCACAGAAACTTATATGAATTTTGCTCAGCTTCTTGAGGACTTTTAGTGACTTTGGTTCTTTATTTGGTTTTCATTTGAAAGATATTTCCTTTAAGATTTGTTATTTGTGACTTTTGTATACCCCTACTCAGAATATTATCTATTTAAATTTCAATTATATATAGTGTAAGATTTACTACATATCACTGCTTCTTTCCCTCTTCATTTTTCTCCATTTTATGATCTCTTCTGATTCATTTATGATTTAATTAGAATCCTGTGATGTATGTAATGTCTTAGTATGCTTGGACTACTATAACAAAATACCATAAACTAAATGGCTTAAACAGCAGACATTTATTACAGTTCTGGAGGCTAGAAGTCCAGATGTTGGTAGATTCACTGTCTGGTGAGGGACTTGCTTCTGATTTCTAGAAGGCTGTTTTCTCCTTATGGCCCTACAAGGCCTTTCTTTGGTATATCCACTTCGGGGAGAAAGAAAGAGCTCTTTTGACTCTTCATAAGAACACTAATCCTGTCGTGAAGGCCCTTACCTTCATGACTTAGTGTAACTTAATATTACTTAATGTAATTATTTTCCAAAGTTCTCACCTCTAAGTACCATTACTTTGGGGGTTCAGACTTGAACATATCAATTTTGGGGGACATAAACATTTAATCTGTAACAGAGAAATAAGAGTATCAGAGGGGTCTTGTGGAATGACACCCTTCACCACAACTGCTTAATGATAGCAGTTATGATTTTACTATCTTTCCATATCATAATCTTTCTTAAGATTCTAGTTGACAAAAAGTCAATCTGAGAATAAAAATTAAACAAAAAACCAAAAATATGAACAAGATTTTTGTTAAGGATGTTGAATTATTAAATAAGCGTAGGAAATAAGATGAAAGCTGTAACACAAACTTTACTAAGAATTATTTAATATTGTATTGATTAGCCAGAATATTAATTAATCCAAAGCATGGAAAGGAACCAACATTTGAAGTTGGGGATGATTGGAATTTTTTAAAAATAATATTTAGATATATATTTAAATAAAAGTTTGTGTTTATTTTTTAGAATATATCGAACTTTTTGAATATTAGAAATAACTTTCCTACCAAAGATTTGGGGATTTCATGAATTTATTTCATTAAGTTATTTAATGCATAGGTATAGGTTTAGACCAAAAATCTAAACATAGTAGCCAAAAGTAAGAATACTTAATCAGAATCAATTATAGTAATAAAATGTATTTAAAATAGTTACATATTGTACCTTAGATTTAACTCTATTAAATTTAGTAATATAAAGCAGAGAAACATTTTTCTCACTTATGAGAAAGTCTTAAATTTCTTTTCTCAGAGATTTAGTGAAGGTCACACCAAAGAATGCAATGTAATTTTATTGTTAGTATGAAACTGAAGAAAATTGTAAATATTGCCTTCTTGTACCTAAATAAATCTGAGAGATTTATCATAAATGTTCATGGTGAAGTGTAGCCTTGTGTTTTGGGGCAGGAGGGGAGGAAGATCTTTTCTTGTAAACGATTATTAATCTTATAAATGACTTAAAAAATCTTATAAATGGTCTCATAGTATGGGTGAAAAGTGTGTCCTGTACATGATGTCAGATATTGAAGAAAGTGTATTTTGATATTTATGTATTGATGCAAAATACCTTTAAATAAGTCGAAGGTAATTTAAAAATGAGAATAACTTTAGTTGGACCTAAGACCGAAGAGTGAAATTTACCCTAATTAGGATCAGTGCACCATGCTATGGAATGACTTGTTTTATCAGTAATTTGGATGCCTGTTACTTATACTCTGTCAAAAATATTCATTGATTTCTTATGGATAACATATTGGAAAAGTGTATTGTCAGTAATTCTAAGCTTTTATAATTTCTACCATTTCAGACTCTTCTCTTTAGAAACTTTTATTCATTTTCTAACTGATCTGAATCACAAGTATCAGATACAGCTTTTTACAGTGTATGTGTGTATATATATACATATATATGTGTATAATTAGTTTCAAGAATACAGTACACTGGTTAGACATTTATATAG